CATAAAAATCAATTACTATTTAACAGTTTAAAAGAAAGCTAATCACTGTAATCATGTTGCAGAAACATTAACCAGTGATTTAAATCAGTAGGTTTGTTACCTGAACACGATCACATCAGTCTTCAGTTGCCTGTTGAGTGGAGAAAAAAAAACTAGAAGCATAAAGACAACAGCACCTTTCAGGAGTTAAAATAAGAGAAGCCCACCACTGTTCGACTCCTGTGGAGCAGGAACCCTTCCTCAAAAATATAACCTTTTTAACAGAATTTACAGAAAGCTCTACAAGCATTTTAAATCAAAAAGTATATACAGTATTAAATAAATGTTTCCTCTTAAGAAATGTATGTAATTAATCGATCCATTAGTATGATTTGTTCTTTAAAGGGACATGTATAATGTTAATATTGGTTATAAAATAAATGATCATTTATTCATTAAAAACTAAACATCCTAAAACAATCAAACCACAATAGTAAATAAGTTATGCTCATGTTGGCATGTTCTGGTAAAATTACAACCTTATAAATCAGTGTTGAATCTGAAGAACTGTGACTCTGGTGTTTGTTCTGTGTTTTTACACGTCTGCAGTGCTGCAGGAGGTCTGGCTTGTGCCAAATCGCTTCCTTCTCACCAATAAAGTAAAAACGAGTCCTTCAAACTCATTCACAGGATTGATCCTGGAAAAGAAAAAAACATTAAAACAAAAGTTTAAATCTGACAGATTTCTGTGATCTCTGCTGAATCTGTCGTTTTTGTGACCAAATGTCGACTCGAAAAATAACTGAGTTAAACTGGAGTTTGATTTCCATCGAAGTCTAAAAACGAGTTCAGAGGAATTTTCCATTGATTTACTAATCATCCAGGCAAATTTCGCAGAAACAAAGAAAATAAATCTTTAAAATGTAGAATCTTCAAAATATTCTTTTAGTACAATAACAAAACGGGAAATGAAAACTTCTCTCTCTTTTTTACACAACAAAAAACAAACTAACAAAAACACAAACAC